CTACCTGATCGCCTCGACCGTGCTAATCCTCTCTGGCCCGCCAGTCTACGCTCTGATTAATTACTTCATCCTCTCCCGTCTTTTATATTACATCCCTTATCTCGCTCCCCTGCACCCCGGCCGTGTCGCAACGACCTTCGTTGGGCTCGACGCCGTGTGCGAGATTCTCATCGGACAGGGGGCGTGGCGCATGGCTGATTCCAGCTCGTCCGACGCTCAACGGGAGCTGGGTTCGCGACTTGTCAGTGCCTCGCTGTGCCTTCAGGCTGCGCTATTCGGTGCGTTTGGGCTTCTAGGTGTGCAGTTCCAGCGACGCGCAACCGCAGCTGGCGTATTGAAACCACATCTACGTACAGTTCTATACGTCATGTATGTGAGTGCTAGCATCGTTACGATTCGCTGCATCTACCGGCTAGTAGAATACTTCTCTGGCTGGGACTCGGCCGTGTACAAGAATGAAACCTATTTCTGGATCTTTGAGGCAGCAATTATGCTGATCAATACTGCTTTGCTCAATATCTGGAACCCGGGGAAGCGCCTCCCGCCATCTAATTCGGTTTTCCTAGCAAGGGACGGGGTGACAGAGAGGAGAGGTCCGGGATGGGGTGACGATAGGCCCTGGATCGTCACGGTGTTTGATCCATTCGACGTCTGGGGCCTTGTTAGGGGCAGGGATAAAAAGACGCAGTTTTGGGATTTGAGTGACGCGGAGCTTGAAGCGATGCGGTTGGAGAAGAAGAGAAATAAGAGAGGTTGTGGATTGGCTTTGTTGGATCCATTTCACCTTTGGGGCAAGACGGGGTATATTGCGAGGTGGTTTGGTAAGACGCAGACGAGTGGACAGCCTGTAACTCACGAGGTGTCTACGACACGGACAAAGTTTGGTGGTTCGGAAGCGAAATACGAAGTATGAAGGTGGCGTGAGCTGTTGCGTTTTATACCAAAGGAAGTCACGACCGCGTAATGTATAATAGCAAACACAGAAGGGCAAATTAGATACTTTTTTTTTAAATTCAATAACAAGACATCACAATATGAACACATGGTGAGACATTGCACAAAATGATATTGATGGGAGCCCCATGTTAACCCAAGGAATCTATACAATCGACATACAAACCTCCCTTTTTTTTTTAAATTTTGAGGCCATACGCGTAGATATGTATTCCATGCCACATTCTGGCAAAAACCTGAGCAAAGATGACTCCACCCGTTAACTAATAGGAAACAACAGGTGTGCAACGCGTTGTGAGTGTGTACCTCACCTCGTAATTCACGCGACAAAAGAGTACATGGTAATAGCGGCGAAGAATAGAAGTAAAGTTTTGGAGCATGTGATGCTTGTACTGAGGTATGTGAATGTGTCGATATATGTAGTAGAGTGTGGAAACAAGGCAACAAAAAGGAAATGATAGTGTGCAGCTCTGCCGATTGGCGTATATGTCAATAGAAGATAGAAATGTAAAACAGATGGGTGCAGGACAAGGTTAGGAAATAAGAAGGCGAAGATAAAGGATCGCCATGGTGAGAGTTGCCCTTTTGTCGAACTCGAGGGGTATAGATGATCAGAGCACATTAGATCCGTGACAGAGAACACAAAACGCCGTACTCCAACAACAACAAACACCTATGCAGATATTGGACCAGCAGCCTTTGTTATAATGGCTGCATAGCCGTCAGCGTCAAATGAACTTAGACGCCGACTTCGGGGACATGGCGTTGTCGTTGAGTTCCGTCAGCACGCCTGTAGCTCATAGCAGCCCGGTCCATGGGCTCTTCCATGTCAGGGGAGCCAGGATCGTAGCTGTAGCCCGCGCCAGATGGCTGGGGCCTGCTACCTGCTACCATGCGCTCGTTCAAATGACGAGAGTCGAATGTGCTGGAGAAGGAGCGTTTGTTTGATGTGGCCGACATGGGGGGAAGGCCCTGAGTCTGAGGGTTAAACTTGGGCAGAGCATAGTGCTGGCTGGAGCCGTCAGAGTTGACAGACATTGCGGCAGAAATTGAGGTGGGTGGGGATTGGTATGAAGGAGAGACGGGCTCCAGCTTGTCTGCAACGATAGGCCTCAAAGAGGGCAGAGACTGATGAGAAGGAGCCGAAGATGTGTAGGATTGTGGTGACGAGTGCAGAGGCTGCAGAGGCTGACTCATCTGCTGCGATCGGCCGTACTGGTCCATAGGGTGATATGGTTGTACTGGGTGGCTTGAAGCAGTGTATTGCTGAGCTGGCGATTGTGTAATAGACGAGCGACGGTAGTCGGATGGGTGCGCATAGTCGGAAGACATTTGCTCTTGTCTTGGAGGTGCAGCGTGGTCGTATTGTGACTGCGATTGCGACTGTGGCTGCTGCTGGTAGTTGGAGTATCCGTATTGCTGGTTCATTGGCACCGGAGGCTGTGCCTGGTGCTGACTGCTGTAGCTGCTGTGCTGCGAGTGCTGCGAGTACGGTGTCGAATGCTGCGGAGGCTGTGGAGGTTGCATCATCGGGGCCGGCTGCGGGGTTTGGTATTGCTGTGAATACTGAGACTGGTTCGAGCCGTACGATGGCATCTGCGCATAAGCGGGAGTCTGTGGCGGGGGCATCTGCTGCTGGTAGCCGTTGCCAGCAGAATAACCATGGCCCATTTCCTCGATGCTCGGGCGACGCGGTGGCGCGAGCGCAGGGTTGCTAGCGCTGGACAATGAGCGAGGACGGTCATCGAGAGGGGCATTTGGTGCTTGTCCATAGTTGTCGGGAGTTGCGGTGCCTCGGGCGCGATCGTAGCCTCCTCCTTCCTCGTCGTACTCATCCCACTCCTTGGACGACTTATTCTCACGGCGCCTCATCCTCACGTCACGACGGATACGGACACGGCAGCCCTGCTCGGCGACCATACGGCTCAGAGCAGTGCTCTCGGACAATCCAGGGAACTTCTTGGCGGAGAAGACGGTAAAGGGAGCCGACTTGACTTCGCAGCGGTGGGTAACAAAGTGGTTTCCATCGTAGATGACGTCCGGGTCCTCGGGATCGAGGTCCTTTACCTCTGCCAGGTTCTCGAAAAGAGCAAAGCTCAGACGGTACTTGCCCTCATGGCGAACAGACAAGTCAGGAAAGATGAAGTAGCCAGCGGGCGTCGGGCGGTCGAGGTAGGCCATACCAGCAACTGGGGTACCTGTCAGGACTGGAAAGCTAGGTCCGGCGGTAGAGGGAGCGCGTCCAGGAGCGATGGTACGGGCATTTTCCAGGCTGGCGTGGAGGAAGAAGTTTGCATTGTATGCAAAGGTGATTTCCTGGTCATTCTCAAAGACGCGCAGCTCAACAATCGGAGGCGGGTCGACGGGACGTCTGTCGGCGCTCGACTTTGCGCCGCTACCGCAGGCACGGGCGCGCTCAGGCTGCTGGATTACCTGCAGATTGTAGCGAATTTGCCTGCCATCCTTTGTGGTGCGGACAGACTGGCTCTTTGTCTCGTTGCTAACAACAATGTTGGACATGTTGGGTGGTGGTGGAGTCTGCAACGAGTCAGCACAGGGCGTGGTGGTGCGTGGGCGTGAGAGTGGGAAGTTGTGGCGAGGCAGTTGCAGGGACTGGCAGGGCTCGACCCGCAGCAAAGGTACACTTACGGCGGTGACCACAGAATTGGGGCTCTGGGTCGACTAGAACAACGACGATAGTGTTGTCAACCACGGGCGCGAGCGACCTGGACGTGTCAGTTGATGGGGTCTGGCAGTGCCGTGTGGGAACGTTGATGGGTTCGGTAGGGCAATAAGCATGGCGCTGGCTGACCCGAGCCCAAGTTACCGGGCGAACTTAAAGAGGCGCAAAAATGGGCAGGTGGAGCGTGGGAGCGCGAGGGAGAGAGGGAAGAGATACATACCAGCTTGGAGGAGGATCCGCCAAAGGGACAGAATGGGGGCGGACAGTGAATTGGTCGTGGTGGTCGTGGTGGTGGTGAAGAAGAAACGCGACGTGGATGGGGGCTGAGGAGACGGGGACAGAGCCAGGTGGAGTAGGGTAGCAGCAAGCAGAGGGATGAGTGACGGGGGATGGGGGCTGGTCGCCGAGGACCGAGGGGCCAGAAGCAGGCGACGCGACAGCGACGGCGAGGCGTGATGGCTTTGATGGTTTTGGTGGGCGGGGGGAGATGAGCGAGAGTAGGGATTGCGCGGGCAGCAACTGGTACGTGTGCCTGCGGAGGAGAGAGTCGTCAGCAGCAAAGACAAGGCATGAATACGCCGAAGAGGGTCTGGGGGCAGAGGCAGGACGGCGATGGGAATATGGGCTTGGGAGAAGGGCAGCAACAGCAGCAGCAGCAGCAGCAGCAGCAGCAGCAGCAGCAACAGGTAAGAGCACGCGGCTAGGCCTAGTGGATTATCAGAAGAGACGGCTGGCTGGCCCGGCGGACAGGCTCATCTGCACTGACAGATTTAGCCGAAGTGGAGCGAACAAAGAGAGGATAGTTTGGTGCCGCCATTGGTTTGAGGTTGCTCGCGCACACACGGGGGAGCATGCAGCCGACGCCTCCGCGGGGCCATGGCAGCGAGGCGTCGTAACTATGCATCTCGACACGAAGCGACGACGGCGACGATGTGGTCCTGCAATTCCCATGTCTGGGGATATATATATATATATATATATGGATATGTGTATTCTTACATAGACATGTACATATGTAATGTGCAGTCAGTCAGTCCATACATATTCATCATAACAACTCGGGAGCAAGCACCAAGCGGCAGGCAAGACAGATTGGCACCCGTCTCCTCAGGCTTGAACTAGGCCCACCGATGACACGGTTCCATGCAACCCTGGGGTTCGGCACTGTCGAACCAGCTACTTACTTGCACCGAGGCCCGGCAGCTTTGGCACGCCTGCCCGGGTCATGCATGGGCAGCAGAAGCAGCAGAAGCAGCAGCGGTGGGCGAGACTGTCGCTTGTTGTCGCAGCATCTGGTGGTGTTGATGTTTCCGTCTCTGAGTGCACCAGCATATTCTGCGCGCCTCAATCGGCTGCCGTACTCTCAAGCCACCAGCCCATAAGTAGAGTAGCCAGTCCAGGGCTTAGGAGGGGGCGGGGGGCCATGTTCTCTGGTTGGCGTATCTATGGGGCCATGCTGCCCAAGCTCGCTCTGTGCCGTGCTACCCCAGCTGGCTAGTGGCGCACAAAAGAGGACGAATGGCCTGATGGTCACCATGGCACACACGCGCACACACATACATATACACACACACACGACGCACACCAAGACGCGCCATTTCCAGCTCATGTCGTCTCGTCTCGTCGTTGTTGTGGTCGCCGTTGTTGGGCGGGTGTGTGTATAGGGCTGTGGTGGTGGTGCGTGTTGCTTCTGCCGGGCCCGTCAGCGTTGGCACGAACGGTTCTCCAGGCGGTGCTTTTGGCTGCGACTTGGGACCGCTGCTGACAGCTCGAGCGGTGGTGGAAACCAATGGCCACTGAGGCGGATTTCCCAGCACCGAGCAGAGGGCGACAGACGGCCCACTCACACAGGATCACCATGCCCGACCAGCCCCAATAGCCTTGGATCCTGCTCTGCCCTGCTGTGCTGCATGCACTAGCCCTCATCTTGCTACCCGCGGCTCCGCCCGCCTTGATTCGCCCCAAGCCCTGATCCTTCCAACGGCCGACCAGCCTGGGGGCGATCCCACCCGCGCTCCACCTTGCCCGCTGCTGCCCACACTGCCTCCCTTCTGCATCCATCCATCCATCCATCCATCATCCATCATCCACTCATCCATCCATTCACACGGCATCCATCCACTACGACTCTGTCTCTCCCCCCTCTCCACACCAATACTTGGCTTCTTCCCCCC